GCTTACATTGTGAAGCCATGCTTATTCTATCCTACCCCAAACCAATTCCGTAAGCCATCCCAGACTTAAGCACAATACAGCATTTGTGGGATTGACTCGAGTAAATAATCAAGGAGAACGTAATTCCAAGGAAATGATCAAATCTGCAATAGTAGAAGAATGGAACAAAATAACCACGGATGAGAGAGAGAGAGAGAGACAACTATGCTATTTGAATCCCTACTAAATATGTTGAGAGAGTTATGGAAGGGGGGAACGTAATAGCATATATAAAAACTATTAACTTTTAGTTACAACCCATTATCGAACAGGTTTCCCCCAGTGTACGCAGGCTTTTGACGCACACGATTTGTATCGTTCTCTAGTTTTAAATATTTGTACTACTTTTTATGTAACACTCAGGGGATTTTTGCTTATACTGTTTGAATTTACGACGTTAGAGGAATCAATAGAAAAAAAAAATTATTATTGATTCTCTCTCTCAGAAAGACTTCATTTAATGCGCGATCTTTACATGAATATGAAACTTGCCTCTGAATGTCTGCGTGCATACGATCAAAAGTGTACTTTTCTCTTCAAAAACATTTAAATTTTAATAATATTATAGAAAATGGAAGTTCAGTTTTTAAGAAGTTGTTCGAAAAATAACTTGATTTTTTCCAGACAGCGGATTTATCGTATTTTTTCAGACCCAACTTCACACTTAAGCCGAATAATCATTTTGTTTTCAGAGCTGATATAGAGCAAGGCTTGATTGTAAAAAGTTCAATTGATTCTATGCAGTAGTTTTTGGTTCGTGCCCTTTCAAATATAAAGAGCGAAAAGCAGCATTTCCGGCTTATTTTACTTTTTTAGTAAAGAAAAGTAAAAACGCTGCTCAAGCAAGGAATAAGCCGATGTGTACCGAGGAGATATATTGACAGACAGTGTGTACGCAAGTGCTCTCTAAAACTAGTTTTCAAAATTACGGACCGTTAAGTTTGATGTTGAAAATGCACCCCATTCTGGAAAGCCAACTGAAACTGATAAAGGCCTTAATTCAGCGCTTCTTAAACTAGGGGGCGCGAGCATATCGAAAATAAATGGCTAAAAAAATTAAATTTACTGGAACGAAGTAAGCAAAATACTTTGACGTATACAAAAATACGCATTTTTACACTGATATAATTTATATATATCAGCTGGCGATATTACTTCATCAAAAATAAACGTTTCCACTTTGATACGATCATTAAACTAAACTATAATTAAATTAAAAAAAACGATTTTGTTGTATTTGCTGTAATTTCACGATGAGAGATTTTTTTATTGCGTTTTCTTTTTAAATCTAAAATACTACTCTTTCAGTAAAAACAAAACTCAGACCCAGAAAAAAATTCTAGGAAGATAAAAAAAAAGTCATCACTGTTATAATTTTTGAAATGCTGTACATTAGCTGTAGAAAGAAAAGGAAGACTTATTCACTATTCACCCAGGAAGCAGATTTTCTGATCATCGTTAGAACTTATTGGCATGATTAGTTCTGCCCCTTCTTTTATGTTTTTCATTTAGGGAAGTTGTAAATAATGTATTTCTGTTGTGCCTTTTTCCAATTGAAAGAGTTAAATGACATTTAGAAAAGCACAGAGAGCGTTTTGAAGGATTATTTGGCAAAGATTTATTTTTATGGGTATTCTGAAACATGAAGAGCATGATGAAATACGCGTTTTACACAATTATTTTTTTAGAACTAACATCCATGTTTTTATATTGAATACACCTTTAACCCAGGAGTGGTTGCGTGGGGCACAAAGTCAAAGGTCAGCAAAACTACAATAATTTGAATAAAATATGACCGTTTTGCTTGCAAGTATCATTCCCGTAATGTTCGCGAAAAGTGTCTGTGATTTGTGTCCTTTATTAAGTTTACGTACCTTTGAAACATTTTAGTTGAGTTTTAATGGAATTTTTCTCAAATTATCAAAAAAAAAAAAAAAAAAAAAAAAAATGAAAATTTCTTGAAAATAGGTAAGTACATTTTGTTTTAGTTAAGTTATTTACTGGAATTGTGATTTTTATCGCGTACAAAAAACATTGGAGAGACTGTGCGACTATTAACGTTAGTATCAAGTGCGCGCCCCCGGGTTAAAACCTTTTGAAGCTTTCAATAGTCATGCCAAATGGGATGGAGGGCAACAGACTGTTTTTCTGGCATTTATACTTCTAAAAATGGATGATGGAGGAAATAAATTTTTCATTAAATATCATTTTGCAATTTGTTCCAATTTAAAAATTAGAGAAAAGAAAAGCAATATCCTAAATAAATATTACTTAAAATTAACAAATACAAAATTTAATACTTATCTTGTTAATTTGTTCGGTTTATAATAAAGGTCATATTGTAGCTTTAGCGCCAAAGTGCATTATTATTGTATAAGGGGATAAAAATTATGATTGTAAATTGGGTCGCCAATAGTGAAAGTTTGAGAAACACTGCCTTAATGGATGCAAACCGGCGAATAACATCTCGTGAAATCACTGTAAGGTTCAATTCATCGAGTTCAACGGTTTATGACCACTTGAAAAGCCTAAGTTTAACCTCAAAGCTCGATATAAGGGTTCCTTATGTTCTCACGGAGTGAAATTTGTGTCGCCATGTTGATGTGTGTGATCTACTTCTCAAACGTCAAGAAATTATTCATTTTTGAAGCGTATTATCACTGAGGATGAGACATGGGATGCCTATAACAACCATTCCAAACCATAGGTACAGCTATTAGAAAGATTGCTGGTGGAAAACAACTTCAGTGAATGACTGATATATGATCCTGCAGGTGAAAAGAGTCTTATACCAGTCAGCAAGCGCCATTGCTCAGCAACTGTGTTCAGTAACAGGGCGACAAGTGCCGTGGTTTACTGAGGTCAGACAAACTTTAACAAAAGTGGGCTAATCGCCTGCCGTCCTGACAGCTGCATCCCTTTGAAAGTTGGCAATCGGCGGTACCGTTTATGGTGGCGTAAGGAGCACAAAAACTGGACATCTTATCAATGGAGCCGTGTCCTTTTACGGATGAGAGTGGTTTCAGTGCTCAAGGGATTCTCAACGCCAGTTGATTTGGGGAGAAGTCAGGACACGGTTTCATCCCAGTGATATCACTGAAAGATACCGTTACTGTGGTCCAGCATTGTACTGAACGTGAGGACACGTTTTCGGCAGAGGTTCTGTTACCGAAGATCGCTACTGTAAGGAGGATATTCTTCGCCATGTTCCGAGGTGCTATTTTTTTTTTAGACCAGACTTTGTTTTTATGGATGACAATGTATGGCCACAGAGCTGCTGATATTTACTGGAAAGTAAAAATATCACTTAACTCAATAGGCCACCATTCTCTCCTGATTGAAATCCCGTAGAATATGCGTGGTATGCCTCGTGTGGTGGCACGATTACAACCTTCGGGGAATTTGCTCCTTTACCTCAGAACTGTTGGACGATCTGGGGCTGAGTAAGAAGAGACGGTGCGAAGCTTGTTGATCTTCCTCTTGGACAGACAATCCTGTGTAACGAAAGTATGCTAAATAAAGCCTTTCTTCTTTTATTCTATACTACATGCACTGCATTCATTTTTACACAACTATGCTTTTGTTATCGTTTAAGTACAAAGTGTTGTCTTTCATTTCTGAATTTCATGTCTCACGGATGATTTCTCGTGGAGTTATGGGGAAAGGTAAAAAACACCTGTTGCTTAAGTTTTGCACGACAGTGTATATTTTACAAAGGTGTTAAGTCTAGAAAAGAATGAACTTGGGCTAAAGGACAGGTTCGTCATAACTATTTTTCTAGATTTATTGAAACAGGAGCTCGGGATGTAATTTTTCTATTTTTGTCAAAAGAGTTATCGATGGTTTTGAGATTTTCGAAGAATGTAAGTGCCATTATTTTTAATTCAAGTTTTTTAAAATAATTAATTTTATTGCATTCAGCTCTTAAAACGTGTCACAAAATAACACTTTTTTTGTTGTTGCATCTCCCCCAACTGGGTATGTAAAAGTAGGTCAGAAAATCAAAGTATAGACAATCACAGTATCGTGCTTTCTTTAATCATGTTCAACTTTAAGAGGTCAGTGGAAATATACTGCCCTTCAAAAAATAAGATAAACCCGTCTTTTTAGTCTAATTTAAAAATGAATGAGCATAGAAACAAATCATTTAGAAGAAATGAGCCCTAAACAGTTTCTTATTGAATGCTACACATAAACTTATATAAATTTAACACGAGTATACTAAAAAAAGCACTTCTTGAAGGAAAAGTCCATTATTAGAGAGCGAAACGTCACAGTTTTATGAGAAAAATATCATGAAAACATAATAAAAATGGATTCTAACAAGAAATGCGTCCTTTACTAACTGCAATGCTTTTGGAGCATCAAATTTCCATTGCTGTCAATTAACTTGTCGGCCACCAAAATAGGAAGCGAGGATCAGAGATATGGAGTAATTCTTATTCCAACTCATGAAACGACCTTGAAGAAGGACTTCAAACACCCAAATATACTCTAGTGAATTCAGATTAGAAGATCGAGCTGGTTATTTCATTCGCTCCAAACCGTGATCGTCAATCAGCAAGCACATTATCATCTATCAGAATGAGTTGATCATGAATAGCAGCGGCATATATATAGGTGAATATATTGATCAAGAATCTGACAACGATATCTCACTCCAGTCAGAGTTCCTCTGTGAAACACTTGCACAAGTGACAGATCTCTACCCAAATCCAGTTTCCATCTCTCAACGATGTTGGATTGGTTGTATTCGGTACACATCGTTCCCTCCAGGCCAGCAGACTTGTGACAAATCTATACGGAACTTTATTACTAACCTTCTGAGACGTCTTTTTTAGGGAAATTTAATTCCCCTACCTATTTTCAATCAGCTCCAAAAAGAGGGCAGGGATTCCTTGTTATGCAGGTTAGATAAAGTATTTAAGTCAAACGGAATAGTAAAGTGAGATCCAAGGGGATCTTCACAGTGGCGCACAAACCCACGACTCCGAGATTAAGAGTCTCGTGCTCTACCGACTGAGCTAGCCGGGCTGGGGGTCAAGAGGTCGATTCCACCCTCGATCTCATCCAGAACTTATAAATTTAAGAGACCTCCTCACAAGGAGTAGAGTCCATTGCAGGTCCATCAATGTTACCTGATTGCAGACTGAATAAGTCAACTAAAGTCGGATCCCGGACAGAAGGTAGTGGACGTGATAACAAGACCCGCCAGACCAGAGCAACAACGAGAGGACGCAATAAACAAGCGGAGACACCAGTCCGGTCGAATCAAGCCACTACAAGGAGACCTTGCCCATACTATCTACGCAGCCGCGTGGAGGAAAGCGACTGAATTCCTGAGGAGCAGAGGAACATCAAAATCAACGGCATCCCTCACAGCAAAATAAGGAGAAGCCTCAGTATGGAAGCGTTGGATGGAGATCCGATACATAGGAGGATTTAAGACAAAAACCAGGTTGTATTGTTTCTTTATCTTCGCGGTACGAACAAGTGAAGAATTTTTGCATTTGAAGCAAGTCACGGGCGGACTTTAAAATTAAGAAGACTGGCAAAAGTGGACACTGCATTGTGTGTGTTTTTTTCTGTAGCAGAAAAAACAGCTTTTGTGATAATTTTTTGTATTATGGAGAAAACATCTGTAAAATTTGCATTTGTTTACTTCGATGTATGACTTCGCTAAGATGCGACAATTCATTTGGTTGTTTGTGTTATTTGTTTATTGCAAAATGATTGTTATTGTATGATGTAATATATATATATATATATATATATATATATATATATATGTATATTTTGTTTCAAATCTGGTGACTCGGGGCGCGGCGAAGTTAGATAGGATTAACCATTAACACTAACTAGCGCAAAAACTTTTAGAATGGGAAGGCAAAGAAACCAGATATATATTGTATGTAAAATTCATGTAACAAGTGTATAAATTCATGTCTGCTTTTACCTACCACTCAAATGGAAATTAATCTTTCAAGGTAGCTGATCCTGAAGTCCTCGATGTTCCAATGCCAAAGAAGATAAAGATTGTTGTTTTATGTATAGTGATTAAGTAAACTCTATGGGGCTGGTTTTTTACCACCACTTGGGTGGTTTTTCCCACGCCTCCGTGGCCAAATGGATAGAGTGCAGGGATTAATTTAAACTTGTAAAGTGTTATGAGGTTTAAAAATTAATTATAAGTCGTAATTTTATTTGTCCTTTTCCTTAAGGAAAGAGTTTCAGTAATATCCAATTAGCAGTTAAAGTCGTCGGAACTATAAGACAAAGACAGGAATTACGTAATTTATTTTCAGGACGTATGAGACCTTCGAATAAATCCCGTTTTCTTTTTGGAGGGGATTGTGACAAATCTATAGGGAACTTTATCACTAACCTTCCGAGACGTCTTTTTTAGGGAAATTTAATTCCCCTACCTATTTCCAATCAGACAGGGATTCGTTATTATATATGTAGATTAGATAAAGTATTTAAGTCAAACGGAATAGTAAAGTGAGATGCAAGGGGATCTTCACAGACTCTCCGAATCTCTCTTCGGGGTGTAAGCTTGGACTTATCTGAGAAGAAGCCCATTACTGTGTGATCCAGGAAACATGTCCCAACACAATCTCTGTTGTTGGTTCAGGGTAACACACACAACTGGTCATCTTGCACAGAGACTTGCATTGCGAAAGCGTTTTCGCATCATAGAAGCGGAGATTTTTGTTCCTGGTGCGACAAAATCATCTGCAACGAGCTGATGCCCAATAATACTTTACCTTCTTCAGCCTAAAAGAGCTAGGAAACGGGGCTGACTTTCCCAATGCATGTAATGTTCAAACTGCAACCCCATTGTGAGACGTACTCTTATGACATCTCTATTCGACTGCCCACCACCTTAACGAATTTCCTTGACATTGTTAGACTCTTCTGCAAATGGCCAACGAAGTCATGCACATAATGTACACACTAAGCTACGTAAGTTTGATTTTTGCGCATTGCGTCTATCTGCGCAAGTCTTTAATATAATTTTTTATTGCTGTCACTTTTTGAATGGTTCGAAAAGTGCGTTTAACTTTTGGACGTCGCACCTCCTGAACCTAGGTCAAATGACGCAGGACTTTGAGCCTCGTCGCCCCTCTCTATATGGCGGGTCTTCAGTGGCACCAGGACCAGAACCACTAGGCTACCGCAGTCTTTCGTGGAATCTCGAAATTTTTAATTTTGTGATATGTGGCTTTAAAGAGAGAGAATTATTTCATCATATTACACTAAGATATTCATTTTTCGACAGATTTAATTTTTTTTCTTTTGTGCATTTAGATTAATTTCCCATTTGGAGAATATCGGCGTTTTTCATGCTTCAGCTTTTACACAACTTTTAAGAGTTGTCGAACAAACCAAGTCTCGGTTCAATAAACAGAAATCTTTTCAACGAGCGTAGCATATTGGAGTCGAATACCAATTAATACAATTATACTCCCCACATTTAATCATTGGAATAAATATGCACCTCGAAAACAAATCGTGAGAATGTGTTATTTGCATAGTACGCAGAAATAAAACTTACTCAAACCCCAAGGTAATCACAGTGGTAGGATTCTTCCTACGCCCCAAATCCCGATTATTCCAAATTCCCTTCCGAATTTCTAAGTGGCATAGTAAAAAAAACTAAGACGAACACAGCAAAAAAGAACATTTGAAAGAATACAGAAACAATTCAAGTTTATTTACATACTTTACAGGTATTCCTGTAAGAAATATTGGTCACATTTATGCGACACCCTCTATTCAACGTTATTGACAGCACGTGAAAATTAGATGACGCGGGTGCCAGCGAAATAAATCGCTTATACCAGTTTGACAGCACGTGTTATCGCTACAGTGCTATCCCCGAGAACGTGATTTCTACATAAGACCCCTCCTGCTCACCACTGGTACGCAGCTAAGAGTCCTGGCCTATCTCTACAGTGCAGGAGTTCCAGGGCTCATCGGACGGCCCTGGCGCGCCTTAGAAGCGGTCACCTGCGTGGTATGACTTTTGTGCAGGGGAAAAGTCTTTCTTTACCTGTCCCTGCTCTCTCCTTGCTTCTCCTCTGTTCATCTTCTGGACTGCTGGGTCATTTCCCTGCGACAGTTGTATAAAGAGCAAGGCCTGGTGTGTGAGACTATTACGCGGAAAGGTCAAATGGACTTGGTGTAGGCTTTCCTGCTCCAAGGGGATTGGAAACAACAACAGACCCCTTTAGTTGCGTATTGTAGCAGAACTGCATGAAAGGGCAATAACGTGAGTACTATCAAGTGTGGCAGGAACTGGACTATCGCGTTAATGTACTCCGTATGACCAACGTTTCCCGCATAGAACACTGGTAAAGTCTGTAAATAAAACTTGAATTGTTTCTGTAAGCTTTCAAATGTTCTTTTTTGCTGTATTCGTCTTTGTTTTTTTCCGGTATGGATTCTACTAATTTAAAGTATAATTTTTTGACGTCATCAGGACATCAAGCTCTTATGACACATTTTCCCTTCCTTTTTCTCTTTGTTGAGCAGTCCATCTTATTCACGCGTCTCTTCACAATCAAATTTAGAGTTTGGCATGAAGCAATTTTTTTTTTTTTGAAACGCACCAACAACGTCTGCGAATATTTACATAAAAGGCCCACTTTTATCTTCGTTTTTCCACATTATTCCTTCAGCTGATTTTAAGCTTACAAAAGTAAATGTGGCTAGTGGTCCTGGTCACATGCTCGTAGGTGGCGCAAAGTACATCATTTGCACCAGGACGCGACAGAAACAATTACCTCCCAGGTAAAGGGAAGAATAAAATCTAAACGAATCTAAAACGCATATTTGTTATGCAGTTCAATGTAATAAAATATTAGTATGTTAACTTTTTTCTTTTGTAAATGAAATAATCTGTTTTTACTAGAGATAAGTCATGAATAAATTTTCTTGAATTTTTCTCTAATGTCACCCAATGACAAATCCCTGAATCTTCGAGAAAATAACGATCGCCGCAGAAATATTGTTATTAGTGAATAACATGAATTACCGTACTTGATGATACTTTGCTCAGTAACGCTTTTGCACTGAATATTTAAATGAACAAAAAGAAAAAAGAAAGAAATAAAGAAAAGTACAAATACTATGAATTTTTTTTATTAATAAATCTAGTTATAGATACATATATGCGTAAAAAGTTACATTTCATTTGTTGGTTCTTTTCAAATAGTTACTTAACAAAGTTCATAATACGTCTGAATCTAACGCATTTCGTTCTCATACCTTTCTAAATTCATTTCTATTGGCAAAATTCTCAGAGGAAAAAACAACGTTTCAACAATACGTTGACCCAAATTATTTTTAAAAAGCCTTTACAAGCGTCTTGATCGATAAAAAAATTGTTTCGTAAAGATTCTCATGTTTAGTATAAGATATTCTGGGGGTGGAAACATTTTTATACCCATTACTTTCCAAAATTGTTCCTTCTACTAAATAAAACTTGGAAATTTATTTTTGCCCATTAAACTGCCTTAAAATTCAATTTTTCCCCCTTACTCGTCGATACCTATAGCTGCATAAAATTCGCTTAACTCCATAGTTTCATTTTATTATTATTATTTTGAGTGGGTTATAAAAAGCTAAATGTATTTTTAAATTGATTCTAAATCTTACGAAGGGCTTGTTTTATTTCTTGAAAAGCGATTAAATATTTTTAATTACATTTTCTTAAGGCTACCTTCGGCTAATGTTAAAGAATAGGGGCCGAATTCGGAATATTTTTTGAAATATAAAAGTACTCCAACATTAATGTTATCTACTGGCTACATTCTCCTGTGTAGAGAATCCCTTATTTTATCGCATTTTGATCCAAGTTGACACATTTTTTCTTCAACAAAATGTGTTTTGCAATTTGTTTCCTATACCGAAATGAGCTATTCCTTCACATATTAAAAGGAAAAACCAATTATTTATGAAATTTTAAAAACACTATACAATAAAGAAATGCACGAGTCACCCATTTTTATAAAAATGTCCGAAAC